AAGTAATGGCTTTTCAGACAGCTTTTATTTGTCAACAAAAGACATGAGGAAGGCTGCAAGCAAGAACAGTCCACTCGGTCTGTCTACCCTATTAGTTATCAGGTGATCCGACAATCTCATTCAGTGGTTTTTTGAAGTCAGAATATCAGCTCCAAGAACATGGCTGGGTCGCTTGTTCCACACTCCTGTGCCTCCCGTTCTCAGTTTTAAACAGACTTCCACACTGTTCGTTTTTGATATTGAAGAACTCCAATGATGGACTGTCAGTGTCTTTGGGGATCTGGAAAACGTGAATCAGGTCTTCAGTTCAGTTTATTTCTTTAAGCCTGTTGGTGTAGGACATACTTCCCTGGGCTCAAAGGAATCTTGTCCCTCTTCTCTGGACTGGCTCCGGGCACCAATATCCTTTTTTGCGAGTGTGTTTACAGGCATGTGGTGCCATTGGTGAAGGACACATCTCTGAAGGAGTGCTGAAACTCTGCTCCAGAAGTGCGTTGACAGTGACACGTAATGAGGTAGTGACCATCTTCATGGACAGTATTCTTAATGAGGCCTTACTAGAGCTTTGTCTTTCTCAGACCTTTGATCTAGTGTAACCTTTCGGAATATTTGTGGTGGAATAAAGCAGTAATATTAAATCTCACCTTTCAGGTGCCCGGCTGTTGCCAGCGTTCTCATGCGTTTTATACAGTGTGGCCAGAGCTGACACTTGAAAAATGAATGGCAGTATGCATTTCAGATCTTCCTGAAGTCTTTTTGTCTCATGTTAGACAAACCGTTGTCCTGGTTGCCATCTCTTCTGGGGATCATTGTTCTTCATGATGCTTGGCTATTGCCCATCAATGCCTTGTGTGCAGCAGCAGCAGCTCTGTGCAGTAATTTGCCCTTTGGTTATGGACGTTCGGATTTCCGTCTTGCTCTTTGGGTTCTTTAGTGGTGGTCTCAAAGCTCAAGATAAACTTCGGAACATTGGATAAGGGAAAGTGTATCCCCCAAGTATAGATGACCTCCCCGTCCTGCCTTCAACACTATCTCAATACTGTCCACAATGTGATTTTACTTACAGTACATCAGACGTGGGTAAGCTGAAGAGGTCACCTATGTTGTCAGAAGCACATGCCCTGTCTCATAGTCCCACATTGCCGCTCACTGCTGAAGGCGAGCCTGGGCTTGACCTTGCAGCATTGTCATACCGACTGCAGTGGTTCCTGCAGAGCTTTTGGAAGCTCTGGCAGATCTGCCCTTTTGCAGGATCCTGGCATAGAACCCGAGTCATAAATAATGCATAGCCGAGATCTATTGTTTCTCTTGCACATCTTCCCTTTCAGAGTAGCAGGGAAGCTCTTGGCTGTGCCTTGATAATAATGATGGCATGTTTTGTTTGTCGTCGCAGATCCTACACATCCATTTTGCTGTGGAAAACCTTTACACTTCAGCTGTACTTTTACTCTGGTTGGTGAGAGTTGTGAAAGAAGATTAGTTTTATTTCCACTTTGCTGTAAGACCTGGAAGTTTAATAGAAGAAAATGCCTTTGCATTGAAATACAAATTGGCAATTGAGAACCTGACTGCGCAAAGGAAGCATGTCATTCCCACTGGTCAACCACTTACAGTGCAAAAGTAAAACAGCTGAGCAACAGTATTTAAAAACTTGTCCTTGGTTCACCAGTGAAGGCATTGTTTTTCAAAATCATTTGGCTTAGATTTAAACAGCACAAAATGTTTTATATTGTGGTCTGTACAGAAAATAACATTTGTTGAAGGGGCATATTTTGGCCGTTATGAAAGTCCTGAGTAAAAGCTATTTCCACAAAGTGTAAAGATGTCTTTTGAGTCAACTCAGTGTTTCAGCTGTTGCGTCTTCTTCAGGTGTTTTCTTGTTCCACTGCAGCCAACGCATACTGTTAGAGTCCCCATTGGATTATGCAGGTTGGAAGAGGGTCAGAACACACCATATTGGAGCAGGGAGGTGGGACCAAAATGAAGGGAGGTCCCAGGCTTTTGTGGGAGCTGGCTCAAGCTTATAAATAGCAGTGGAACCAGCTATTTTCTGCGTCTAGTCTGGGGGGAATTAGTGATTTTTAATCCCGTTAGCAGAACAAGCCTGAGGGAAGCCAAGACTGCACTCCACACCTCTTTGTCGTGACAAAGAAAATTGTTTTATTTGTTACAGGGTTTTGTACGTGGACAAAAATCAGATCCTACAGGCACTATTGAAAGATTTTTTTTTTTTAGAGTAGTGCAAAATAATATAAGTCTTCCTTCATCCTATAAAGATGGTCAAGGTATCTTGATTTACCTTTGTCAATTCCAATTCCTCGCTCCATTTTTAATTATAGTAGAAAACTCACTGAACTCTTTCTTTCCAATGTTAATCTGTGATTATCTTGGTCCTATTTTAACTCAAGCTGAGCATTTATTTTTAAGTGCTGTTTTTTAGGAAATAGGCCAGAATACTCTAAAATCTCTCTAGTTGTGTTATTTATTAATTGATTAGTGATCATATTGATTTTAAACTTACAAGTAAAATAGAAGACATAGAGCAAGCCCTATATGTTTGTGTAGGAAAAATCATCATCATCATCATCATCATCATCATCATCATCCAGTTCGGGGTGCAGGTGGCCTGTCCTGGGAAACATTGGGCTCAAGGCAGGATATACTGTACCTGGAGAGGATGAAACAACACAGAGCCCATCAGAATGCTGAAAGTGGCAGCTGTCGCACATAAAATGACTACAAAAAAACTCCATGCGCAAATTGCAGCCGACACAAAGATTTGTTTGGTGTGGGTTGCGGAGCTGGATATAGAAGCCTAGTATTTATATACCACTGGTGTGAAAAAACTACAAGTAAAAATGTTGTTCCTTCTCATTTGATTGTGGTTTAGCAGATATAAACACAAATGGAGATTTGTTTGAGTTCTCAGCTCAGACTACATTTTCAGTCATTCACAAATTGAAGTCCTGGTTTTGGGATAATGGATCTGGAATTGCAATATTATAACCCTGTATGTCACTGAAGATTACAGAGGATCATTGTGTTATTGACTATTATGCACTGCTTATATATGTGAGCACTGCATTATTTAGCTTAAAAAAAAAAATCTGTGGCAGGCTTCATGCAGTACAGGGCTAATTGCAAACACTGACACCTACTGTATAGTGTTTCTCTGCATTAAAGTTTGATTGAAAAAGCAACATGGCAGAAAAACATCAAGTGGAGAGGTAGCAAAGTATGACAATAAAGAAAATCACGCTGTGTCCATGGTCTGTCCGCAGACCTTGTGTATAGTGAAGGACCTGCTGAACTGCTTCAGTCAAGGGGGTGGGTCTCTAGGATAAAGTGATGGCCTGACGGGGTGTGCACACCGCTGTAGATGCACCCTCAGACCAGTCAGTCTGACAGCTTTCACCAAGGGCAATCTCGGGCTCCAGATCAGCTGCTTCTGGTTAGGGGACGTTTGGTATCAGTCTGGTGTTCACGGCTTTTGAGTGGATCTGTGAGATGCAGAAACTTTCCTGTCCTACAATTCACTGCGGAGGGCTTTGGAGTCTGTGGTCACTAATAAGAATATATATATATATGTAGGGCATATACTGTACTTGCTCTATAACTGAGTTTAACTGTCAGTTTAAAAGTCATTTATAAAGCAAACTTCTTTTTTTCTTCCAGGGAGACATAAACAACATATGTTGAACAAGAAAGGGTCAAGCGGTCAGCTGTGAAGCACAATACTTTCATCGGTTTGAAAGACACTCAAAGCACACATCCAGAACCCTTTCTTTTCTTGTTTCTGTTGGTGATTTTTCAAATCTGTATACGTTGACTTAAAACCGCCACACTGTGCTTTTTAAAACTTTTGCTTCACGGGTTTCAGCTGCAGAACTTTGTTTTCAGACCTTTTTGGCATACATCGAAATGCTGCGATTCAGTAGTTGAAGCATGTATTGTGTGTATGTGTGTATATATATAGCTTTCCTGCATTCTTCAGAGTTTTGGTGTACTAAGTGAATTGGTTCGGGATTCAGCCCACTGGTGGTTTGGTGATTGCGTTGCTGGTTAAGCCCTGATTAAAAAATTATGCTGACTTGGCTTTGTTTTCTCCTCAGTTGCATTCTGTAGATGACAGATAGTATGATTTGGGCTAGTTTTATTTTGGATTTCTCTGGGAAGCCACCCAAAGCATGCAATAATTAATGACCACATGTGATCAAAAGCCAAATGTAAGACTGAAATTGAAATGGCTGTCTCACACCCCTCCGGACAGCCAGGGATAAAGACACTTCATGGTGCTTCCAGTGGGTGTTGTCCACCTGGAGCAAGCCGAGCCTTAACTCCCGACCCGTGAGTGTGTGCCTGCAAGGAGTACCGAATTCACGGGACCGCCTGGCCCCGATAATTAACGATCCGAAGTGAGCAGTCACTTCATTTATCTTTGCACGGCCGCAGTCCGACAGGATTACTTTCTTGACTTGCTCTAAGCGGTGTCCGTCTCGCTGAGGGACGAGCGCTGCCAACAGCATGAAGCTGTAGCAGGTAAAAATAGAACCCATGCCAACCACCTGAAACATCACGTACAACTTTAAAACCCCTTTTGTCAAGAAATCCCGCTAGAGTTTCGGCAGTGCCGTCTAGAAAGAGGGCTGTCCTTTTACGGGGGAAGCTTTGGGGTGCGCGTGCTACAGTACCTTTCAGGCTGCGCAGTCTGCCAAGGCAGAGGTGAAATCAGAACTTGTTCATAAAGCGCTGCCAGAGTTATCTTTGATGGTTTCCCGTGGCGTTAATCTCACAAGATGCATGCCTAGTCTTCGCATAGCTGAATTGCTCCCATACTTCACACAAAGTTGGTCCTGTGTATGTGTTGTCACTTTTCCCCAGAGCGCTGGAGTAACTTTCCAGCCCTGGATATATGGGTCTGCCTCTGAAAATAGCGCAAACCACACAGACTACAACTCCAGCAGGAACTGCGATTCTCATGCTCTCTCTTTTGCCTGCAGTCACCAGGAGCGGGCTTGAGTCTAAACCCAGAAAGAACAGCCAGATCCTTTGAGCAGAAGGGAAGAAGCTTCATGTGGATCTTGACTGATGTCCAACCCTCCAAATAAGTAGCTGAACAGTTTGGTAAGATTTATTTCTTTGTGTTCTTTTGTTAGGCAAGTTCCATTACGTTTTTGCAAGATACGTTTGAACACAACTAAGTGTTCTTGCATTTATCTGATTTGTGTCTTGATCTGATCTGATCTGATCTGATCAGTGGCTGGTTGACTGCTGTCAGAGGGTGTTTTTCTGTGTACTGTAGTTGACAGTTTCCCTAGTGCATCGTGTAGTTTTATGCACAAATGAACATTTTATAAATTGCATGTAAAATAATTATAAAAATATAAATCAATTACTGTAGTATGAAAAGCAGATAAGTGGTAGCAGGATGCTTTGTCTACTATGCCGTGATACTGAACAGTATTTTGTGATTGCATACTATTAGACCATATGGATGCATATCCGAGATCCAGAAGTCATTTTACTTATTAGTGTCTTGTGAAATTATCCTTCAGTAAACAAATACCATCAATTAAGTTTTTTTTGAAAAAGCAAACTACAGGTGAAATATTCCAGATTCTCTTTTTATTACTTTTATTGCAGGAAGGATTCCTTCTTGAAATTGTTTGACTTTCTTTCTTAAAGCTACAGTAGGCGAAAGTATTTTAGGTTCATGCTTAACCCAAGGCATGAAAGCATCTTATTTGCAGTTTAAATCATCAAGTCCTTTTCCTTTGATACTGCTATTTGCTGCTTCACCGTACTTTCCATCAGGAGATTTGTTGTATCAGGTTATTGCTTTGTAAAAAGTAAAGAAAAGAAGTGGTTCCTTGTCGGCATTCTCCGAATGCTTCTCCGCCTGCATCCCTGAGAAAGAGGGTTCGATTCCATCGCCTGACTGACGGGGATGTGAATTTGGAGGCTGATTGTAGACTCCTGGAGACGTGTTGGGAGAGGTCACATTCCCTGTGGTCAGGGGTTTAATTCTTCCTGTAGGAACAAAGCGATTACTAAATGGTTCTTCTTTGCCACAGAAATAACACGGTTGCTGAAAAAATCTGCCATTCTCTGTCCAGAAGCATTCGATTACATATGAACTTTACACTTCATATTTAATGTCTTGTATTTGTCTATGGTGAACCATTAAAAATGTTTAGTAAACTGCAGCTTGCATTGCTTATTTACTACGCTAATATGATGTTCCTAAGAAATTCAATGATTTAGCTTGTTATATGTCAGTGTAATAAAGTGTAATCACACTTTATGCAGTCTTTAGAGATGGTAGAAAGCTTTCTTAAATTGTTTTTAAAGATCTTTTTTGACTTGACACCTTAAGTTTAGTTTTCAGTACGTTATCCCCAAATCACCTGAAGATGAAGACAAAGTGAAAACCCTGTATTCCCACACAGAAAGTAAATAATTTACTTCCTCAAAGCCATATCACACAAGCCATTAAGTAAGCAAATGTTGCTGCCTTTTTTCCCCTCCCGTCTTCCTGGTCCCCTTTGTGCTATTGTGTTGTGCACACAAATGCTGTACGTGAGCCTTTTACTGTTGCACATAATCGGGTTCAGTCAGGGAGATCCCAGAGGTCCGGAGGAATTTCGCCTTCTCCTTCAATACACGGTGCTGCTTTCCCCGATACACACTGTAGCACTCTGTGCCAGCCCTCCGCTCGCTCAACACTGCGTCTTTTATAGTTGGCTGCAAAGAGTGACGTTAAAAATCCGCGAAGACAAAATAAATGTGCCGGGCTTTGTTTACACAGAGTGTGTCTGGAGAATTTAGCATCTCTTTTTTTATATATAGCTTGTTAAAGGTGAAATCTTACATTTACAGAGTACAATGGGGCATTGATACACGGCGAATGTAGTGTGAAATACCTTGTCAAGAGGAGTGTATCATGAATTATTTTTTTCGGGCTTTTCCTTTTTTTTTCCGTCAAGCAGTTGCTCAGCGAGTTATTTTTTAACACTTCAACAAAAAGAAAAATTCTCAAAAGAGACATACTTACAAAAGCCTTTTCTTACATTCGGTTAAAAATTGAGTTACTGTATTTTATTTCTTTTTTTCATCTTCTAAAAAAATCAGCTACAGTATGTAAAACTAAATGTTAGAAGGTCCATGAAGAGAGAACTGAAAGAACTGCACACCTGTTGAAATCACTGTGTGTCACTATTGAATGTGACGGTGGACTTGGTGTTAACTTGAGTATTTATGTATTTTAAACATGTCGGTGTGTGTGTGTGTAACTTTCCTTCAGTCCCGATTGAGCTGTTGTGCAGAATGGGATGTACTGTACCTTATTTCTTCTTTCCACTGGCAAAGATTTCTCTTTGTAAATAGTACTGAGTTTTTTTTTTGTTTTTTTTTTTGTTTTTGATAGACCTTTTAACCATTTTTTCAACTGACTTAACAAATAGAAAACTCTTTGAAAGTTTTGGTGAAGGTGAATGTCTTGGGTTCCTTTAATATTTTATTGTCATTTAGTAAAGGAATTATCTTATTACACGACAAGTAATCCATACAAACCTGAAAACAACTCGTGAGAAATGTAGATTATTACCTGATAAATATTTAGGAATTAAACATAACCTTCATGTTTGGGCTGAGCCTTGAAATCACCCTTTTAAGAAGTCTTACTCTTCGTTTAAACAAGAACCCAGTTTAATGCTGTTTTCTTTCATTGTTTTGGAAAACAATGCGTTTACAGTAAAATCAGAAAAAATGTTTTCCACACGAGGATTATCGTGTTACTAATACAGCTTTCAAATTCTCATCGTGCTCTGAGCAGCAGGGTGTGCATAACTCCTACTGAGCTGCTGGGAGCTGTCAGATTACTGTATGTATTTCTGAAATCGTGGTTTACTGGTATGATTCTGAAAGTATTTAACATGCGTTTCAAACTCTATAGGCTAGATGTCAAAGCTTTGCTTTTTGAGCACAAAGCAAATATCAGCTTGGTTCTCTAGGCCCTGGAATTTACTATTCCTAGTTTATTACTCACAAAGCAAAGAAAAGACCCTGTCTCCATTTACAGGAACACCACTGTATTGAAGTAGTTTCTGACTATTGATTAATATATTTCATGGCTCATTGATTTGACAGAAAGCACAAGACACTATTAAGACCTGATTTATAATATGATGCACAATGTTGGTCACTACTTTTTTTAAAAAAAGATTGGAGTAGTGAGGACTGTTCAGGCCCTTCTCGGGCTTGCAGGAAGGATCTACAGTACACTGGTAGGCTGAAGGAAATTAATCTTTTTCAGTCTTGAACAGAGAAAACCACATGGACACCTGATCCAAGTATTCAAAATACTAAAAATGGAGTCTTTTAGAAATTAAGAGTTGACTGCACAGTTCCACAATACTGTATGTAGAAAATAAATCACAAGTCTGGTGGGGGACAGATTGCAGCCTTTGGCAGAAGCTATAAGGTCACTTAGTACATGATTGTGATAAAAATGGAGAGCAACAATGACGCCTTTTTCCCCGGTATCAGGAATAATGTGGTTTAGCTTTCCTTGTTCATTTCCATGGAGATGTTGTTAAAATGGCTCACCATTGAAATTGTGTTTCATCTCCCTAGCTAACACAGAGAATACAAATATCAAGTCTTTCCTGATTATCATTGGTAAATGACAGTGACCCAGCCAATTCATGAGTGGCTGACAGCAGTAAGTGATATCTGGTGCAAAAATGTCTCGGTCAGCAGGGGTATTTTGCAGATATGCATGGAAACACAAGAAGTCACACACTGAAATAACCTAGCTTTTTTTTTTTGACAAACGAGTTAATTTGCTCATCTTATGAATTTGGTTCATATATTCTAAATTGGTGCTGAAAACTTCCAGATCACATTTTCTGAAAGTAGTTTGCAGTACTGTATATTAAACATATGCAGAAGTCTGTTTTTCTGAAGTGAAAAAGACATTGTTTGTACATATGCTTAAGAGACAAATCTTTAAAAAGACAGTCCTTTAGTCTCTTGGTTCTTTAACTTCATTTGAACTGTTGACCTTTCTTGTTTTTTTGTATAAAACCTCAGAGTGGCCTGTTGTTAACAATTGACGGTATCCTTTTAAAAAGAGCCATTCGTACCACTGCAGTTAAAGGAGTCAAGCAGTTCCAATTCACGTTTAGCCATGCAGACACCCTTAAAGAAGCCAGCAGACTTGTTTTGTGCTCATGACCTTGCTTGGACTAGGATGGTGTCTTATCTCCTCTTATCGACTTTAACGACTAGAAATATAGCTTTGGTTTCCTGACACTAACAGATTTGAGAAAGGAATTTACAAGTTGTACCCATACTTTAGAAATAAACTTGTGGTATGATCAATGTTCAAGTATAAATTTCTTGTCATTGCCCGTTATTTTAAAATACCATTCGTGTACAAGATTTTTTTTCCTTCATTTTTATTCATTAGCACAGCGGTGTGACTTATTCACTGCAAGTGTGAATAGTTCTTTCAGAGTCAAAAATATTGCAGAAAATCTTAAATATTCTAAATGGGGGTATTGTGAGACATTTAATGAGCCTTTCAATTCCCGTGACATGTGCGAGTATTACAGCTGTCCTTGATTCCTATGTCACTGAAAAAATATTTATGCTGGCAATTGACTTCACATCTGACAATGCTACAGCAGCTAAGCTAAGAGTAATCTGCAACACAACTATAACCTCTGAATTGCTGTTAAATCAAAGGCACTTTGTTTCAGATAGTTCAATTTAAAAACATTTTTTGAATCAAATCTGTTCTGGGGTTGGTTTTTATGTGTCGTATCTGATAATCTCTCGTTTCTACTGTATGTCTAACGCGGCAGTTTTGTTGGTTAATGAAAACTGAACAAAAACCTAATTCTGTAGAGCTACAGTAGGTTCTGCTTCCATATTAGTGCTCGTTTTAAGATGCAGGTGAGACTTGATACAACTCCTCAGAAGAAAACCAGTTACCGTGCAGAGACAATCCCAGAGTTTTGGAGGAATGCCCTTTTTCCTTGTATTTGCACAGGGTTCAAGTGTGTGTGATCTGTAACCCTGTGGGTTTTAGAAACACGATGCTGGACCTGATTGTTTTC